CTACACCACACACACACACATCACACCACACCCACAACACACACACAAACAATGAACCGTGCACCGACAGCCCAGGTTCACACTTCCCATCCTCTGCCTTCCAGTTACTTCCACCAGACGGCGCTTCTAATGCGATTCGACGACACAGTCACGATCGTCAACGCCTACAACTACAACGCATACCCGCACACCGCCTCAGACCCGACCAGAATTTACCGCGTTCAGTCTTACCCTTACTACGGGTGGATGACACGAAGGAGCGTGGCGGAGACGATGGTCAAAGACTGGGCGCCCATGGATCTGGTGAGAGCTGATTGGTTCCTCGTCTAGGTGTGATCAGTGGTTGTAGAAAATGGGGATGGGAATTGGTGGTGGTGCCATTCATATTAAAAACATGGGAAAAAATGTTATCATAGTAATATCACTGAATTGCCATCATAAAACCACATTAAGAAAGATTACATAGAAAATAATAATGAGAGTCAAATCACTAACTCAGTAATCATCACTTGAATTAGTCATGATAGCCACATCAAGAAAGATCAAATAGACAATGATACTTAAATAGAGTCAAATCACTAACTCACTAACTTCACCCCTGTTCAGGACGCAGACTGGGACCTATACATCAGGAAGTACCACGTGAACATGTGCCACCAGGTCGTCATCCCAGAGATCCCCCGAACCAAGCACGAAGGAGGCGGCGGAGTCCACGTCTCGGGGAACGAGCAGGAGTCGTCCTTCCAGCAGCGGCCACTCAACACCCAGCGGGACGTCCAGCTGAATATGATACGGTTGTGGGAGATCGCCTACGGGATCGACATGCGGACGAGGATCGATCACGCCCAAGTGGTGAACATTACCGAGCACCCTTGTGACAAAAAGCCCATTCCGAAACACAAGGTGGGGACCTCTCGTCTTAGAGTAAGGGCGTTTGTTCTGCTTATTTTTTCGTTTCAATATTAAGGTAGTTTGTGGATCAAGTGGGTTCTTACTTCACAAGTGTCTGGGCAATGTCCTTTAAGGTTATGGGAAACATACATGTCCCCTAACTACGATAGGCTTGGCTACAGACACATAAGCCAAGTCGGTGTCGATTCCTTCCGCCTTGTGATAAAAGACTACTGGGCTGACTCTATCATCTTCAAACCCTTTAACAATAAATATTTCGTTGGCGGTCTCCAGTGTTCTTTTATTCATTTATCGCGGGTTATTTCTCTCTATACATTTCTTTTGTTGTATTAGTCTCTCTGCCTTTATCCTTCTGTCTATCTGTTTGTTAGTCTCCTGTGTTTCTATCTAAATGAATAGATAAATTAACGAATAAATAAATAAACAAACAAATAGACATATGATACAATTCCTCCAGAATGATACCTACGTCATCTACGTAAATCTTACCGGTGAAGACGACTACGAGAGATCTTATCATGTTCTTGGCAAGGTATGTTTCATCTTCATATACCATTTGCATATCTTGTGTAATATCAGCAACATCATCAAAAAAATATAGAGCAGACTTCCTTATAATTATGTATACCCATGTTTTATAAAGTTTGATTTCAAGATGGCTTATTCGCTTTGGAAATACACACACAATGTATAGCTTAAATTTGATATAAACTTATATTTCAGTTACCTACCATGTTTATCTGTCTAACACTTATTTTCACATTACAGTGTATGGGCTTCTACTACCCTTATCTCTACGAAAACTACCACGGCACTTTTTCCATGAAGTTCTTCGAGACGCCTTTCATCATCGTGTCCTGCCCGTCGTCAGCCTATTGGTGTGCTATATATTCTGTTGGTGTTGGTAACAGGTGTAAATCTTTATAACCATTGAAGTAGTGCTGATATTTATCAACATTTATTAACATATTAAGTTATATAATGGTTTACAACATAACCTCAGCCGCTATTGACAAATTATGCAATTATAGATTGGATAAAGAACCATTTTTATCAGTTATTACCATTCACCAGAATCATCAATCGTCACTTTTGTAAGAAAAAATAAATCAATTTGATAATAAGCCGTCCCAATCACACATTCACCATGGACATCACCATTATGAAATATATATATATATATATATATATATATATATATATATATATTATATAATTATATAATATATAAAATATATAATACTTAATAATCTTAATCATTAATTAATAACTACAAAGTAGTAACTATTGAGCATAATGTGCAAGCATAGTCAACAGAAAAAATAATGATTATAGTTGTTGCATCAAACGATTATCACCAATCGAATAATCCCTATGAAAAAATACAATACTTCAAACATCTTCATAACACCAATTTTCAGAGTAAAAACAAACAAATAAATAAGACTACCATTACCAAGACTCTCAGAACAATCCCTCCACCTCATCGCTCTCTCGTCCCCCTTCCCTCGCAGCTGGAACGTGGACCCGAGTGTGATCTACCACCCGACCAAGGAGGACCTCGACTACGCCACGAAACACGCTTGGAGGCATTCGTATGCCTTGGGCGAGCTCTCCGTGCGCGTCCCTGCCCTCACGCCCGAGGAGGAGTTCGCCCTTGACAATGTCCTCTTTAGTTACGTTCCAGTTCAGGAATTAGTTTTTTAAGTCTTCGAGATGGTCTTGCGTGTTTTGCTTTATATTTATCATTTTAATTATCTTTAGTTCATTGTAAACTTTTTTTGTCCGTTCCAGTTAAGGAGTGATTTTTTATATGTAGTCTTCGAGGCGGTCTTACGTATTCTGGTTTATATTTATTATTTTACTTATCTTTTGTTTATTCATTAAATATTTTGTATCTAGTTTTATTTTTCAGTAATAGTCTTTCGGAATTACGATTTGGCTTTTACTATAGTCTTTAAGAGATGTATTTTGGACTTGAGTATAAAATTGCGAAAGCATTTTTGAACTCGACATCTATCTGTATTACTGATTGTAATAATTAGTCACATGTAGTCATTCCAACCATGTAGGTACGTAAGTTTCGGTCGATATATATGAAGTAAAAGTAGTAATATATGAAGTTCTGTAACTTGATAATAAAACTGAACTGATCGTGATATCTGCAAAAGAAATGTTTTTATGTAATATGCAATTCATAATGTATTCATAAGAATTGCTTTCAATATATAAAGAAATTTAATTGATGTGTACGTGTATGTATCCTTAAACAATATCTATTATGTAACCCTTAACAATTATTAAGATCAGCAATAAATAAATAAATGAAAAGATACAGTCGAGTCTTTAAAGGAAAAGAATTTTACAAGGCGACGATTCCTCTGTTGCCTAGAAATCGATTGCAAAATATATTTTGTTAATAAATTTTCAAATCTATATAAAAAGTATGACGGATAATCAACAACTTCACAGCAAAAGAGATATATTTTTCATTTCGATCCCATATTCAGAAATACATGAGAAACGCGTTTTTCTAAAGATACAATGAAACGTAATGTGAAGTTATTCATTCTCCTTACATATCTTTTCCTACATTTGTCATGATGTACTTCTCCAAAATTCAGAGCTGTCTATGTTTATTGTCATTGTATAAACATTACTTTCTCGTTCATCATTATAGTAAAATAAGATATAAATAAAAGGAATGAATAAGTAATACGTAATCTTTCATGGCGTTTTAATAGTAAAAAAATACACACACACACACACACACACACACACACACACACACACACACACACACACACACACACACACACACACATATATATATATATATATATATATATATATATATATATATATATATATATACATACATACTATGGTCAAAGTCATAATCCGTCACCTTTACTATAAACATCCTCCCTGCAACCCAGTATCGCTGTGCATGAGTCATCGCAATGGAACATCCCCAAGGCCTTCCTCCGGGCTCTATGGTATTACTTGGATGAAACTTTTTCCTGTTATGCTCGGACTCTTCATCCATACTTCCAGAAGGAATACAAGCTGAATGAGTGAAAAGCTATGGTATATTTAAGTTTTGTTTTCCGCCTAAACTAAACCACGCACACAATTCCAGCTCTATTTTCCTGGTAAAGGGTTCCAGCTCGTACACGTAGATGTTCAGGGTCACAGTGCCACATAAGACACATGTGCGTGGGTCGCTCTGTAACAATACGTAACCAAACAAAGGCGCGAATATGTACACGAACTGCATTTAGTATTACGCTATAGTACGCCACAGGAAAGGTTTAGACGTGACTACTTCGCAATGATCGATCAGTGACTCCTGAAAGACGGAAATAAGTGCGCCGTGATGAAGACGAGCTAGGCCTAAGAATTCACACTGGGGCCATCGACGAAAGCTCCCTCCAGACCTTCAGAAATGACGTCGAAGAAACGGGTGTGCATTTTCTTCCTGCTGGCGGCTGTGAGCGCGTCTCTGGCCGCCACCGGGATCATGCTAGGCGCCGCGGGACATGGCCCTGGAAGCCGCGAAGCCCTCCCGAGAATGCAGGGTGAGTAAAGAAAGGAATGTTGATGTATATGCATGCAGGGTTATTGCTTCGTCTTATCATTCATTCATAAATTGTATCATTTATATGCAGAAGTAATAATGGTGATTACCCTATTTCATGAATACTAATGTCATTGTAAATTATAACTTACAATGATTATTATCAATTACAGATGGCATCTTTACATGCGTTTCTAATATCAACAGCCTTGCAACATTTACATTCATATGCCACGTCGAGACAATTCCTTTTCATAAAAAAATGCATTGCCATGTTCCGTCTCCTCTTTAGTAGCAAAATAATATCAATATTCCAATAGAAATGCTACCACTTTCTCGAACGGTTAATGCTAAAAAAAACGTGCAAGACATCAAAGGTCATATAACAATATGATAAAGTATTGTGACGAAAGGGTAAAAATGAGTTAACAATTAGGATAAAATATGTTAAATGTCAAAGGGTACGATAAGTCTAAATTAAGCGAGTTAAATGGGGGATTTGTATCTAGTTGTTTTGAGGGAAATTTAGTTTTACATTTCAAAATTTGATTTGACTGGTATAAATTATTTAATCAATATCTATTTACGACCCTTCTAGACTGCACTATATTCCGCCTTTACGCAAGTTGGCACAATGACTCCACCTCTTCCTTTCAGATACGTAAAACCTTATAAATGAAACGGAAAGTCACTTATTTACATTTCCGTGATGATAAAGAAATGATTATTATAAAAAATGAAATTTGCAAAACATCAATTGATTCTATTTTGGCTTGGAAATTGCGGTTAACCTGTACACGAAAACCAACCGAAAACACACCGCTCGAGATTCTCTTCTTGGGTATGTGAATCATGGCTCAAGGCGCGTTATGCTTGCCTCCGCGAACCGTTCGATATGAACCATGGATTAAGCTCGTTCGAAGCTTTAACTGACTTCTGGCGCTTAAAAAAATCAAAGGGGTCACTGCCTAACGGAAAACCTCATAATGCCACCACTTTGCGGTCAAACAAGGAGCCACGGGTGTAAAATGATTTCATATATTATTCGTTCTGTTGTGTTGTTTCTATTTGCATATTTTTATCTTCGTAAAGTATTTTTGTCATCTGCTCCTTGACTGCTGTGGTTTGCAGATGCGTATATCTACCTGTTTCAAATTAATTCATATACAACGAAATAACAATATCAGCTAAGATATTGTAGGAAAAAATGTTCGTGATGAAAGACACAAAGGAAAATTCAAAGGAATTAAATTTGATCAAAATGCGAAATATAAACAAAACTAAAATAAAAGCAAATGAAAGCAAACTCAAGGAGGATTTCGAAATCGTTTCATCTTTCAATGAACATATATTGCGTCGATTTTTTTCTGCTATTTTATCAACAAACCATATTCGCATATGATAATCTTACGTATATAGTGAAATAAAAACATAATGTAAACAAGAAAAATAGGATCTGATTGTACCATTCGAAAGTAGTATTAGTAATCGCAGTACTATTGGAATATCATATAATTCTTCAACTGAGATTTTTCAATTTCTCTATTCATGAAGCTCTAATATTAAAATGTGAATGGAAAAAATGCAGTATTAGGAAACAATATTTGAATCATTTGTTTTACCCCATATGATCATACACATTATATAACCTAAATATAAGCATTACATGTCGATCAGCTTGATGAAAAAATTAAAGCATTATGCCGAAGACACATACGGTAGCCGTATTTTGTTCGTTATTGAAATCCAAGTCAACTGGGATACGGTTTATGGTACGTGGTTCCCGTTGAATGTTATGCCGCAAGACACATCCAAGGAGGAAATGGTGAGGTATCTTTATATAGCCTTCTGACTCCAAGTCAAGCATTTTTTAAACTTCTGTGCCTATTAGGTTTTCATTTTCCATACAGACACACACATATGTATATGTAAATATATATATATACATACATTACATACATACACACACACACACACACACACACACACACACACACACACACACACACACACACACATACACATATATATATATATATATATATATATATATATATATATATATATATATATATATATAATGCATTAATAGCTATCACATAAAATTATATGGTATATCAAGGAATTACATATAAATGCAGCCCCAACCCAAGAATCATTTGCCAAGGACGGTTTAGACAGAGATAACAAGTGCCACACGACCATTCCCTTCACCCTAATAAACATAAAATTTCCTTCCATCCCCCAGGTGCCACAGGGAGCTCGGACGCCCCACGCGCCAAGAAGGACCAAGATCGCCGTGCTCGCCAAGGTCCTTACGAGCAACAGAGCGCTTCGCCAAAGTCTCCCAGGCACGCGAGCCAAATTCCAGAGAGAGGGGCCAAGGGGAGCGTCCTGTTGGAGGCACTCCTGGGTCCGTCCGGGGTCACGTTCCTCGTAGACGGCACGGAGGTGAGTCACGTACCGGGGCGAGAGGTTCTACGAGTCACGGTGTCGGTTAGGGTGATTCAGTGCCGATTCATTCAGTTTTGATGTGTGAGCATGGCGGTCCGTGAAGCACAGCAAAATCTTTGAGAGTTGATTTGCATGTCAACTTTAATATCTAAAACCATATCGGTTTATCATGAACACAGAATGGCTCCAAGTACCTCTTTGCTCTTCTGAAAATTCAGTGTCCTAAACAGGCGTATCGTGTGATCAATAAAACCATGCCATGGGGAGCTGGGCGAGCCCGCCTTCACGCCGGCATACACTACGTGATCATGAACGAGAGGTCAGGACAGGTCATGCGGGCGACGACCTTCTTCACCTGGCAGCCAGAAGCCACGCGCCAACTGCAGGATGTGGTCAGGAGCACGAGAAATGGCAGAGTGATCGTCATTTTAGCCACAGTAAGAAATATATAATTCCGCCTCATGTATAGTAGCTGACTGTCCAAAAATTTAAGGTTGTTATCACATTTTGCATAAAGTATCACCCTGGAAATAAAACACCTGAATGTAAATTAA